AACCAAACAAAAACCCTCAAAAAAACAATTACAGACTTGAAGATTCAGAGATTCGCTTTACTAAGTCTCTGCTGGCAACTTTGAAGAAAGTGTGCCTCAGACTTCTCCTTATGGGGGCTCGCACCTTATGCACAAGTGTGTACATTCTTTCCTTCAGGGGGAAGTCCTTTGGCAAGTCTACATCACAGTAGCAGCTCAACCATTTATCCCCCATGGGTTCTTAGCAAGTCTCTGTGCTAAGGTCTTCGGTTTGTTTGAATGGAAGAGCTTCCTCAGCCTGAATTAGGAAGGGGTTTGGTGTCAGTAGGCACTGGATGAGGCATCTTTCAATAAAGCAGGTTCTAAACTTCAGACACGGGATGGGGGTCGTGGGGCTGAGGTGGGGTGTAGTTCAGTGGCAGGACTCTTGCTTAATGTCCTCAAGGCCTGGCTTTGCTCCTCAGCATTGTAAACAGAACCCTAAACCAAAAGGAGATTGCAGAGAAAACACAGGGACATTTACTATAGGTTTGAGGAATAGATCTGTGGGGGGGGGGGGGAGAGGATGAGGTGACTAGGCTGCTGGACCAGATGTAGTACAGGACAAGGCCTATTCATATATTTCTTCACTAAATAGTGTTTTCTTATTTTCTCTATAAGGGGGCAAACTTGTTAAAAAATTGTCAGATGGGAATAGTATTACAAAGATCCCTGTGGGGTAAAAAATTCCACAGTGGTCTAAGCTCTGTGGGGCCAACTATAGCTCCCTTAGTCACTGCTTATGACAGTACCTGGTTTTTGAGGTTAAGCTGAGGAAAAAAGAAATAGCTAGCTTCACAATATGACAAAGTTTTATAATACTTATGCTTGAAAAGGAAAACCTGAGCTTTTGGTTACATGAAAGAATTGATCGTTATAAAGCATCTCCCATTCAGCCTTTTATTAACCAGTTTATTTAGTTATCTGAAGATTGATGTATCCAGATAAAAGTTTATCCTGTTTTTATAAGGGTATATTAAAAATGGAACTATCCTTTATACCAGGATTAAGTTAATAGTTACACATAACAAAAGAAAATGCATCATAACTTATTAAATCTTAGATTTCTTATTGTTTCTGTGTTTATTTTAAATGTTTATTTACTCATTTAGTGCATACATGTGCATGTATGTGTTGTATGTATACCCACATTAATCCCAGCACTCGGGAGGCAGAGGCAGGCAGATCTCTGTAATTTTGAGACCAGCCTGGTCTACAAGAGCTAGTTCTAGGACAGGCTCCAAAACTATAGAAAAACCCTGTCTCGAAAAACCAAACAAAAAAAAAAAAAAAAAAAAAAAAAAAAAAAAAAAAAAAAAAAAAAAAGAAACTTCTTTAGGATACCCAGGTAGCTACCATAAAAAGCAATGTGTTCTAGTTCATCCAAAGGTGGGAATTCTCTCAAATGGAAAATGTAGGCTAAGAGTTGAGGGTGGCCTTACTTATGTCACAAATGTAGAAGATGATAGGCAGCTTTTGGTTAACAAGATATAAGGGGACAAAGAAGGGTATGACTCCATAGCAAACTGGAAAGCATGGGATACGGAGTAATTTATCCAATCTATATTCTCAGTCAAAATTCTCAGTTATAATGGGTTGCACCGGTCCATTGGGAATCAGCCAAGGCAAGGGGAAAATCCACCCACACCCACGGGACTGTTGATAAGGACAGAATTGGAATAATAACAGCAAAGTGTCTTTCAAAACAGGAGCTGACTGCTCTATGCGGGGAGAGCATATTTTCACATTACATTCTAAAAATAATGGAATAGAATTTGGGCAGAGAAATCCTTACAAAGGGCATGTTTGGGGTAGAGGAATGCAGATTTTATAAAGGATGGAATTCCTGAAATAGAGGGTACTGGATCTGATCCCACCAAGAAATTCTTACATTTTCCTTGTCCCCCAGAACTTAGTTCCATAAAAGTTTCTGTAAGCAAATGAAAATCTAAGAATGAATGTCCAAGTCATTCAAAAAAAGTTGCAGGGGGGTGGCAGAGAGGCTGGGGGGGGGTAGCTGGGGACAGGGACAAGACGAACGACAAGTTTCTGCCATCCCAGGTTCAATGAGGTATTTCTGACAAGCTGGTAGGTGCACATTAATAAAACACCCTTTTCAAAGGGTGAGATCAATCAACAGAATGGAATCCAACACATCTGACTAAGAATGGTGCTGGCTCAGAGGTAAAGCAGAGAAGATTCCTGGGAAACAGTGCCCAGAGCAACACAAAAGCAGTAGCTTCCACACATCTTTCATTTCTCTTGCTGAGCCTGCGAAACTCAAGACATTCATTTTCACGTTATGTTTTGGAGGACCTTCACAGCATCTCTTACACACTCCTTAAAGACAGCGTGCAGGGGCAACATGGGCGTGCATGCATGCATTTGCAGCGTGTCTGAGTTCTGTCATTCTCAGGCCCACAAAGTGTGATTTTTGCAGAGTGTAGATACAACCTCCATACTCCACTTCCTTTCCTGTGGTCTGCTAGTTCTGTGATTGAGTATGTGAATGGCCAGTGCATTGAAAGCCAACAGGAGAGGCATGGGAGAATGTGTGACAGTAACTGGTTGGTGTGAGGGTGATATGCTTTTTGTGTCTTAGGAAAACAGTCTGATGCACAGAAACTGTGGATCCCACATGCCTGCTTTCAACCAGTGGGTCTTCCCGAGGCTGTACTGGCCTGTATGGCAGGACACTGTTGAATTTTGAAAACCAATGTTGAGAATAAATAAGGCACTAAGTTAGTGTTGGCAATGGAGCAATCCAAAATGTATCTCAAATTGTGTTTGGTCTTCATTCCCTTGGAGAACAGCTCCCAGAATATTCATGGAGAAAATGAGAGGGGTAGTAGTCACCTTCTTCATATTTTCCAGCAGGGTGTATCCCCACATTATAAAGAGCCTTGGGTTTTTTTTTTTTTGTTTTTTTTTTTTTTGTTTTTTTTTGTTTTTTTTGTTTTATGTTCTTTCCCTCTTGAGAAATATATCCCAAGCTACCAGGAATGGGAAGAATGGAAGTTAATCATCAATCCAGCAGAGACTCAAAGTCTAAGAGAAAAGGTCCCCTCTATAGGAGAGTATTCTGGAGAAAGAGAGCGGCCTCTGAATGGACTGTTCTCTCAGAAGATAGGTGGCACAGGACACTCTGCACAGGACTCATTTTCCTTGCTGCTGCAGAAGGATAGCTTTGCACAGTGGGGTGAGGGGTTTGCTGTGGTCGCACGGTGGTGGAATTGAGGCGTGGGTCGGGCAGGGCTCCACTGATGTTGGTGTAGCAGACAACCTGAGTCTTCAAATCAGCCCATAAAACCCAATACTCTTAATGCACAGCTTTCTCCTGCCGTGCTCTATCTCTCTCTCTCTACTTGCGTCTCTGCTTCACCCCACCTTTGTCCCCTTCTGTGTCCCTGTCTCTCCCTGTCTCTCTGTGTGTCTTTTTCACTGTTCTTTTTGTTGTTTTGATTTTGAGATAGGGTCTCTCTATAGCCCTAGCTGTCCTAGAACTCTCTACATGGCCTCCAAAGGTCTTCCCGCCTCTGCCTCCCACGAGCTGGTATTAAAGGTGTGCACTACAGCTGGGGACTCTTCCAGATCTCTCGACTTGTTTAAACACCCAGTGAGGCAAGAGACAGAAATAACAAGAAGGAACTGGGGTGGTCCGTAGGACTGGGAACAGTCATTCTGCATTCAGTGGGCCTGTGTAAGGAACTCTTTTTTTTTTTTTTTGCATAATTAAAACCAAATCTATGGAGATGAAAGTAAACTAATGAGATTGTTTATCTTTGCTGTAAAGACACAAGTACACACTGGTCCTAAAGGTCCATTTGCAACACAGCCTCTGTGTGCGTTATTATTTATGTCATGGTGACCAGGTATCTTATTCCATTCCAGTGTCCACAATCCAGATTGTCACCAGGACCAACCCGCCCACCTTCCCCTCCATCTTTGCCATCTGTGTTTGCACATAGAAAATTTCCCCTCTAGATTCTTGGGGAGTACTTGGTTTTGGTTCTATCAGGATATTGAAGAGATTATTTCAAGAAAAAGATTATGCAGTGTAATGCTTAGCATTTATATAGGTTCTTTTGATTTAAAAAAACAACTTATAAATATCGCCTACCATGACAGCATCCTTGAGAGGTAGGTGAGTATTATTGTCTTTATGTCAACTATAGAAACCAGAGGCCAAAGAGTGAAGGACTCTGTTCTGAGCTTGGTGGCAGGAGCCAGAGTGGGCGTGGGCATCTTGGCCACTTGCTCTGGGCTCTAAAAAGGTCACACCTCTCTCATGTAGCAACAGTCTCCATTAATACAGGATTATATATTGTAGAGATATAAAACAACAACACACAATGACATTATAGAACAATAATCCAGTATTTCTGTTTCTTAGTAAAATATGTTAAGCACAGTATTTAAATTGCATTTGTCTGAAAAGCATTTGGTATATTAAATAGCATAAGGTATATTAAATAGCTCTATAAACATTTGCTGGCATACTCTTAACAGCATAATAATTCTAAATAAATTAAAACCCACTGACGCATAGAGACCTTTCCTTTATAACACTGTTAACCAAACACAAATATGGAATAGCTTTGTTCTCCAAATGCAGACTTAATGGTTTGCTGAATATTAGCAGGGGCACTTCACTTTTATAAGCTTGAGGAAAGAGAAGTATATATATGAAATAGCTGACTGTGGTTTTTGAAACAACCAGTTTGGGAGGGAAGAAGAATGTAGCTGAAAGGTGAAAATGAAAGACTACTATTTCTATATTGTATACATTCTGGGGAATTCATACTTTTCCCAAAGATATTCTCACATTTTGAACTAGTACTGAGGTGAGTACAGAGATGCTGTAGAACAAGACAGACCTAAACCAAAGAGAACTTGTGGTATCAGAAGACAAGGGAACAAAAGTGGGTGTTTTTTTGGGAGTCTTGAAGACTGGCATGAGATGAGGGTGTCTGTGCTCAGCTGCCAGGATAGGTCTTAGAGATGGTTTATTAGGGCAGGAACTTGGGTCTGTCTTTGTTTTCTCCTGCCTTCCTCTAACTCCAGGATTCAGCAGTATTAAAGGATAGGGCTCACCTCATGCTAAAACCTGTGCATCTGGGCCAGCAGAAAAGGTTCTAAAACCAGTAAGAAACAGGAGATAAGAACCAAGTCTTAAAATCTGTGTGCAGATGTTAAAAACTAACTCCTACGCCAGAATGACATTCTCTGTTAGAGCTCATAGATACAAAAGTCTTAAATTTAATATATGGTGCTAAGGTGTTGTTAGCTAGATATTACATGTCATTCAGAGAACATTTTTAATAAGTGTGCTTTTATTTCTCCTTTAAAAAAAGTAGTAAATTGTTGTCTTTCCTTTAGTCCTTCCTGCATTAGGTCTGCAGCCTTGCTTGTCTGTCAGTGAGCTATGTACTCAGGGGCTCCCTCCTGGTGGCATTGTAAGTGGCAGGTTGGTTGGAGGGAGGCTTGAGTTTGGACAGGTTTGAGCAGTTCGGCTGTTTGGTTGGCTGCAAGGATTTGGCATAAGGTGAATACCAGTCTCTTTCAAACACATCTTTAAGTTGCTTAATGATGCTCCCATTGTCTCTCACATCTGCCTGGTTGATGACAAGGCCTGTGCCAGCATTCTGGGTAAAGTCATTTCCTACCCAGTCAAAATTTCCTGCAAACAAAGAAATCATAGTGAGAAGCTATGATCAACTGGGAAAATCCCCAACATATGAAATACAGAACAGATTCAAATAAAACAAAGAAATCATAGTGAGAAGGTATGATCAACTGGGAAAATTCCCAATATATGAAATACAGAACAGATTCAAATATAAAAAACATAAAATAAACACCCAGGAATAACAAGAGAGGCAGAATCGTGTTGACAGCTCCAGAGGAAAAAAATTGCAAGAAGCCCTACATATGGCAGATTAATATTTGCATATTATTTTGGCATTTTCTTCAGCTTTGCTCAAGTTGAAACTCAAAACAAGGAATCTGCTGTTCTTTTTCTGTAAATGTTATTTCTTATTGATGTTCACAAGACACACTAAATACAGCAACATTTAAAATATATAGGAATACTTAAAAATCCTGTGAACAATTACTACCTTATCAAAGAGACAACATCGAATCCATATGTATAAACATTATTATGCAGAGACACTTCACAATTTAGACAAAGCTAAAGGCAGAGAAGTGGCTCCAGGACTCCCTAAGGAGACTGGAAGGCATCCCCCATGGCAGGGGGATTGGCTGCTTGGCCAGGTATGAACACAGGCTCATGGGTCTGGCTGCACCTTAGATAGATGGCTGATTTGCTTCCCAGGACAGTTTTCATGAAGTGCCAGAACAAGTTTAAAGTAGAAATGAATTCTCATGACTTTGGAAACAAAATCAAGGTTGGTTCCTTCTTGGAGCTAAGGGAAGTGTGATGGCTAATATTTGTTGCCAACTTGACACATCTATGAAGGACTACCACCATCAGATTGGCCTCTGGCCATGTCTATGGGGCATTTGTTTGACTGCTAATTATGTAGGAGAGCCCTGTCCTTGTGGGAGGACCTTGTCCTGTGTGGGCATTGCCATCCCTGGGAAAGTGGGCCAGGGCTAGATAGGAAAGGGCGTGAGCCTCGGATCAAGACAGTAAGCAGCATTGCCCTTGCGGTTAATGGTTCAAGCACCTGTCTTGACTTCTGGCCTTGGATTCTCTTGATGGTGAACCTTAATCTGCAAGCTGAAACACACCACCCCCACCCCATCAAAATTGCTTTTGGTCACGGTGTTCATTTCAAGGATAGAGAAGCAAACTAGGATGGAAAGGGTGAGTTCCAACCCCCTCTCCTGGGTAGCCCTTTCTCCCTGTCTCTCCATACTGTCTTTCCTCTATGCATGTCCTTATCTAGCCCTGTTCCTTACTTTGCTTTAGAAACAGAATGTTACTATATAGTACAGGCTGGTCTCAAACTCACAGCACTTCTTCTCCTTCAGCTTTCTGAGATCTGGGGTTACAGGCATGAGCCCCCATGCACAGTTCTTCTGTGTTTTGGCTTTGTTTTAAAGGACATAGGCCACATTGGATTAATGTCTACTTTAATAACCCCACTTGGGAGTGATTTTCCCTTTTCACACTCCAAAATCATATGGATTTTGAGGTTGAGATCATTTCAGAAAGGTTGATAACAGCTATGCTATTCATGCCTAATCCGTCTTTGAGGCTGTGGTGGTTTGAAAATGGGCCTCATAAACTCATATATTTGTGTGCTTAGTGTCCATTTGATGAGCTTTCAGGGAAGGATTAGGAGGCGTGGTCTTGTTGGAGGAGGTGTGTCATTAGGGGCCAGCTTTGAGAGTTCAAGAGCCCACATTTGGCCCAGTGTATTTCTCTCTGTGTTTGCTGTCAAGAGGATAAGCTTGTAAAGCTCTCACTCAGCTCCTTCTCCAGCAACGTACCTACCTGCATGTCACCATAATGAGAACAGACTAAGCCTGTGAGATTGTAAGCAAGCCTCCAATTTAAATACTTTCTTTTATAAGATTTGCCTTGATCCTGGTGTCTCTTCATAACCATAGAACACGAAATAAAACAAAGGTACAGGAGAGGGCCGAGCAACCCTAACCTCTCATGCATGTTTCTTTGGCACAACCAAGCGCTGTTTTTAGAATGGCACAGTGCTGTTTATTTCTTGGATCTTCCTTGTCCCATGTTGTTTACCGAGCACCCAGTGTTTACCAGGTCCGATATTAATAATGTGAATATAAGTCTGAAAATGTCAGTTCTCACCTTCAAAGAGCCAGTGAAAGAAGCAGTCACTAGAACGCAGATGGTAGGAAAGGGCATACCAGGATTTCACACCCAGGGCCACGAGCACCGAGAGAAGGCTTTCTACCCTTGGCCAGATGCATCAAGAAGTTGTGTGTTGAGTAATGAGAAACACACTGAAGGTTAACTAACAAGAGATAACCAAACTCCCAAAGGAGTGTGATATCTTTTGGGCAGAGGAGAGGTTGGGAGTTTGGAATATTAGAGGATGTGATCCAGCTGCGAGGGAGTCTGAGAGGAGAGCAACTATGGTTTACTGCTTACTTTGGGCAAAGCACAGTACTTGTGTTTATATACAGTATTTTGTATGATGGGAAGAATTTTCCATGAGGAAGGAGGTGTTCGCAGAGGTTCCTACACTTGTCCCATGTTTCATGGCTAGCTGATGGTGCTTCAGAGAAAACCGTTGGAGCTGGGGTTCAGAGTCAAATCTAACTCCAGAGCCAGCACTTCACTTCTGTGACATGTAATCTCTGACCCTAAAGGCACCCACTTCCAGCTTCACCCTGGAAAATGACCTCAGCTCAGGCTCTGGGGCACTGAGATTTCTACTACGTGCAGAAATCAATGTTCAAATGTTCTGGAGGAAACAGACACAGACAAATGTGTTGGGGGAAGCCCTGGAAGGAGAAAAGAGGATGGAGAGAAGTGGGGACCTCGGGATGAACAAGCCAAGATCAGGGTGTTTGTAGATTTCAAACTCTTGAGCTAGCTTCTTTTTAAGATAGCTCTGGGAAACTTCAGGCGGAAACAGGGATTTTGGCTGACCTTCAAAGTGACATATGCTCCTGTATTTTTTTTTTTTTTTTTAAGATGAGCTATAGTTTCACCTTTTTTTTTTTTAGATGATTTCAGCTCCCCCAAAATGCACAAAAGGCTGAAATATCCAGAATATAGTGTGTATACATGATGTTGAGGATACCAAAGAGCTCACTTGGCTGGTAGGCAACCTTGAGCATCTTGCCAATACCTTCAATTAACTCCCTGCCCCCTCCTTAGCTGTCTAATCACTCAGACACCTTCATGACAAATTTTCAGAGCTTAAGTCAGATACATTCTGGAGAATATAAAATGAGAGCAATGACACTGCCTGAAGATTCTTCTGGAAGTCTCATACAAACCTAATGGAGCTATAATCCCATGCCCTGGGAATTGTCTTGGTTCCACGTTATCAATGCATATGGAAGGAACGATTTAGCAGGTTTCAGAGTGTGCCCAAGATTATTTTAGATATCGGTTATTTTCCTCTTTGATGTTCTTCGAGTGTTTTTAGGCTAGAGCTCTGCTTATCTCTAGGGGATCAGTGTTTTGCTAAAACTGCTGTCTATAAAATGAACTCACCTAAAAACATCTTAACTCAAGAAGAGGATGAGAGCAAGAATCCAATGTTTGCTCAGACTCCAGGTCTACTATCTCATTAAATCTTCATACTGCCACCAAAGGGAAACTGAGACTTAGAAGATATTACATTACTTGCTACCATCTTCCAGTTTGTGTAAGTTTTTTTTTCTGATTCCAAATTTTGATTTACTTTGTTTAAGGAATGTTTGGAGATCAGGTGACCCATTTCAAGACCAATAAACATTAGTTAATAAGCTACCGCCTCATGTCTGGTCTTGGATTGAGTTTTGTCTTTCTCTTTGGCTAAGGTGTCATTGAATGCACACATGGCACCTCACTTTAAATAAAAGCTACAGTAAAACATCTTGCTTTGGGGTCTTAAGCCACTGTGTATATGATTGGATTTATCCTTAGTTTTAGAATATTTAGCCAGACATGCCATTTTTTAGTAAACAGTTCTGAGGGTTTATTTATTTATTTATTTTGGCACTTGTTTTTAAAGTTTTTTATATTTGTTTATTTATTTAATATTTAAGAGTGTTTTGTCTGCATGTATTTGTGTGAACCACTTATGTGCCTGGTGTCTTCAGAGGTGAGAAGAGGTCAGGGGACACCCTAGAACCAGAGTTAATGGATGTTGTGATCCCCTACATGAGTGGTGGTAATCTAACCCAGGTCTTCTGCAAGAGTACCAAGTGCTCCAAACTGCTGGGTCATCTCTCCAGTCATTGTCACTTGCTTTAAAAAAAAAAAAAAAAAGCTACTTTCATTGTTTTCCATAAACTGATAAAGATGAGAAAATTATAATAATCCCATTTTATTGTGCTTATAATGTAAAACAACTAGAATTACACATTTAAAAACAATTTTTTTTTAGGCAGTGTTTTTCTATATTTGCCCTGGCTGTCCTGGAACTCATTATGTAGACCAGACTGATCTTAAACTCACAGGTATCCTCCTGTTTCTACTTCATGAGTGCTGAGAATTTAAAGAGTATACCACCATGCCAGGCGAATCTTTAAAAGAAAATCTATTTCGTCTTTAATTGTGTATATTTGTACATGTCTGTGTATGGGTTTGTATGCATGAATGCAGTACCCATGGGGGGCTAAAAGATGGTGTCAGATCCTCTGGCTGTGAAAACACCTAACATAATGTGCTGAGAACAGAACTCTGGAAGAGCAGTACATGCTCCTAACCATGGAGGAGTCATCTCATACATACATACATGCTCTATTTTTAAGAAGGCAATGCCATAATTAGGAAAAATAGAGACTTATCTCCTCAGGTTGAGATTGCAATTGACCCTGTAGACCCCCTAGTCTGGACAGGATACCCAGCTCCTCTCTGGACAACTGTGTGGCTGAGTTACTTCCTTATCCAAATTACAAATTCTCACTTCTAAACTTGGATTAAACTCTCCTCTCTGTTGGTAGTGATGCTAACATGACTAAATAAGGTAAAAGTGCTTCTTGAAGTAAAGAGGGTTTTTTATTCACCCATGGAATTTAGAGAAATAACTGATAGGGGTTCCATTTCCATTCCTGCAACCCACAAACTTGTTTTTCTTCTCTACCAGGGCTGTTGATTCTTGTGTAATGTCATAATCCCCCCAATTTTTTTTTTTTTTTTAGGATTGGAGCATCTCCTTTTTGTAGACAGTGTCAGCTCCATCTGTGATAATTCCAGTGAAGGAATTACGCCTATTTCCCATACACTGCAAAAAGTTAGAATAACCCCACCAAAGTAATAATGATTGATGCACTTGGAACTTTATTGCCTCAATAACAATAATAGTTAACATTAATTGGGCACCATCCATGTGCCAGGTGCTTTGTGTATATTATCTTTTATTTAAATGTCACTCCATGAAGTTAGAAACTGCCACGAGCCTCATTTACAAATCAGCAAACTGAAATTTAGGGAGCTCCAGGGAACTGCTCCATGTTAGATATTTAGAAAATGGCAGGGATAGCATGAGAAGATGGCATGGATGTCTTTGCTGCCCAGACAGTGTAATGACTTGCCAGAACCCCAAGATAGGATACCTCATGACACTGTAGACAGGAGAATAAGCATTTTTGGTCCATGTATCTGTTCCATGCCAGAACCCACCTCTCATTAGCACTTTGTCTCCTTGCTTATAAAGTGAGCCAGATGGGCCAGAGAATGTTTGCGGAATGTAGATGGTAAACCATCATCCATGATCACCAACCATGGAGTAGAGAGAGAGTCTACCTGGCTGAAGAGATCTTAGCCTTCACCTTCTCACTTTCATCAATAGCTAGTGGACCCCTACTGTCTGGGTGATCCCCAAGAAGGAGCTTTTCAACCCCCATACCCACCAATGTAAGCTGCTCCGTCTGTCACCATGTACTTGTTGCGGTTTAATTTGGGAAAGGTCTGGTTCTTTTGTTCTTTTGTTGCGCACACATTCTCTCTTTCCAGATCAAAAAACTTCTGTAAGACAAATAGCCAAAAAAAAAAAAAAAGGTAAGGAAGCAAAGCAGGTCAATTGAGACTGTTTTGGGTCTTGTTTGTTCATAAATACAAAGGAATCTATTATCCAAATATCAACAATAGACCTCATATTGGGTTGTTAAAATGACACTCTTGTTACTTTGTATAGAGGAAGCTATTTTTACTCTCTATCCATGTAGGCAACAACAAAGAAAATTAGCATGCTCAACTAGCTCTATGATTAACTTTGCAAAGCTAACAAATGAACACAAAATTCCTTCTCTGAACAGGGTGCGAGCAAGGAGGTTGTTTAATTGTCACCATCTTATTCAGCAGGGCACACTGGCACTGGAAGCAGCCTCCAGGCGCTCTGTGTCATGCATGCTAACAAACTGAATGCATAGTCTTACCGGGTGCATACATTATGTCAATGACTAGCTGATTCATCTGAGAACCTGCAAAGGTCAAAAGAGACTTTTGCCACAAGAACAAATAGTTTCCTTTGGAACACTTAAGTTCACAAACTTTTTGTAATGGGCAATCAAAAGAAGTCACAAGTTCAAACTACGGAATTCTAATGTCAGCATGACATCGTCGTCGTCGTCGTCGTAATAGCATTCTACTTCACCCAAGGCCAAAAATGAAGGAGCTTTAGAAGTGAGACCTGGGTGAGTGAAGGCAGGCCTTAGAAATCTGGCCAGTGAGGTGAGCACTGGTGGCACACTACTTCAATCCCAGCACTCGGGAGGCAGAGGAAGGTAGATCTCTGTGAGTTCGAGGCCAGTCTGGTCTACAGAGCTAGTTCCAGGACAAGCTCCAAAGCAATACAGAGAAACTCTGTCTCCAAAAAGCAAAAACTGAAGAAAAGAAAAAAAAAAAAAAAAAAAAAAGAGAGAGAGAAATCTGGCCAGTGCTGAATGAAGTGTCCCTTGTGAATGAAGCCATGGGACTCTGAAGGCTGTGTTTAGAGGAGACACACATTGAAGTCAACCGTCTCAGATCCCCATTGCAGTGGAGAACAGATTCTAGATCTATCAGCCTCTGTGTGCTGGAAGGGAAGAGAGGCAGAGGGCAGATGTGGAAGATGAGACTTCATGTGTAATTTTAAAGTTCTGTTTGTTCTAATTTGGATTGGGGAAATACTGAGAATGGTCTAGCCTTATACTTCATGCTGGGAGAAGGATAGCCTGGTGATTGATCACTAAGGGTGCATCTAGATTTTCCAAAACCTCTATTCTCAGCTTCATGGGGGAGACTTCTAAGACAGAAGAAACCAGCCCAGAGTCTCTGAGTTTGTTAGAGGTCTAATGTGCTGGGAGAGAAGAAAAGAGAACAAAGGGAATTGGGTGATTTATTAAATAAAGTAATTCTAGTTAGCTGTGAAAATATTTTTAGATTAACAATTTTAAAAATTAGGTATGTATGTTGAAGTGTGGGTAGATGTGTGTAAGTGAAGGTGTCCACAGAGGCCAGAGACATTCAATTCCCTGGAGTTATAGGTATAGATAGTTGTAAGTCACTTGAATCACCTAATGTGGACGCTGGGAACCAAACTCTTGTCCTTTGCAAGAATAGTGCATATTCTTATCTGCTAAGCCATCTCTGCAGCTCTGAACTGTGACAATCTTGCAAATAGCAATCTCCCTCTGATGTCCTAAATGATGCCAGGTCACATCAGGGCAGGTGATGAAAGCATCTACTTAGAGACAGAGAGCCTTGCCTGGTCCCAAACCACCTATATGCTTTGTCAGGGCTCTGTGCCTCCTGCAGGCATACTGTATCCAAAGTTTCTATACCCTACTTTTCTTGTAAGAGCTCACTAGCCATCTGTGTCCTAGATGATGGGGCCATGTTTCCTTCCCACCCATGCTTGTCTTGACATTTAAAAATACATGGCCTCTGTTTTATAAAATGGCCAGCAGTGAGCTATTAATGTATGGCTTATTCAAGATGCATGACCATCTGTGTCCAAAGTGGTGAAGCCGATGGGGTTCTGCAGAGGCTACTACAGCGGCTTCCTCTTTCCTTGTATGATTTCAAATGCAAGAGCCTTAGATGCAAGCATGCTGTAGGGGCAGGAAACAGCTTGGTGGGTAAGACCCCTGACTTTGGATGAAGGGAGATCAAGAGTGACTCTGGGAGTGAATGTACCATGCTGTGTGCCAAGCTCCTGGAAACCTCATACACTTGACAGAAGACCCCTTGATTTCACTCACTGATCTCCAGAATGCACGAAGCTCACCAGATCATAGACAATAACTAAGAAAAATCTGGACAATGCTCGATCCATAGGAGGGAGTCATGTCTGATACTGTAAACCTGGGCAAAGACCCATGTCTTGGCAGGGCATATGCCCTATTGGGAAAGCCATTGCCTTTGTTTTGCTTAATGGACATGCTGTGCCTGTCAAGTTGCCATCTAAGTAGCTATGTTTATGCACATATATTAGCATTGCTATCAGCTTTTGTCTGTGAAGCATCTTTCTGCAGTGGGCAGTAGTTAATACAAGACTCACTCATAACTTGTCAAAGTATTGAGGAGAAATGGCTACTGAATGCCCAGCCATAGATGGAACATCTATATCCCAAGGTACATGGAACATCTGGTGACTGGGAGAAGGAGCAGGGAGAGGTGGAAACTCCTCCCTCCCCCATTTCTTGGCATGACAAAGCTGTTACATTTTTGAATTTAAAATAAACTGTGATACCCTGCACAAAATTTCCATAAGTCTGGATCCATCAACAGTCTGTCATGGAAGCAGAGGGGCTGGATCATGTAGTACCACCCTTCCCTGATGATTTATAAGCAGTCTGTGCTTGAAGAGGAAGGGAGAGGCATTTTCTTCAGGTGTGTAGCTACTCATGTGGGGTGACTCCTGTAAACAGTGCTTCTGTCAATAGCCACAATGAAACTCACCGGAGAGAAAAATGACTCAGGCATTGCTCCAAGTAATCTTTGCTCTCCTCACTGGCGACAGAGCCTATCTTACCAGATCCCCCGCCTTTTTTTTTTTTTTCCCTTACTGCCTTCATTTGTGCACACCACTGTAGCACATATTTTGAACACTACTAGCTTCATGTCAGCCATTAGGAAGAGTCAGTGACTAGTCTGCTGGTCTGGTTTCTGCGTCATCTGACTTCCCTGGAGTCCTGAGTGCTACTTTCAGTGTCCTGGATGATGCTGCCCCTGAGCTGAAACAACCCCAGCATTCTTGTCTCTTTTGAAGAGGCTGGACAGGTCTCACCGGCCTTGCCTGGCTCCCCAGTATCAACCTCTGCTTCCACTCCCAGTATTTGACTTCAGATCCCTGTTAGCATCCTTATCCTGTCTTGGATATTTCATAAACATTCAGATCTGGCCTGAAAGGCAGATGACAAATCATTTTCCTAGTTCCAATACTTACAATGGTTTTCAAACTCAAAGACATGGGGGTGTCTGCTTCAGTTTTAAAAACTGAAGCTAAGAACAAAGTTGTAGAGAGATAGGGATGGAAATCCTAGGGTTCCCTATATGGGAAGGAAGGAAAACAGATAATGGGTGCTGAGACTCTCAGGACAGGATAACCCTCAAGCCTATTGCTTTTGTCTCAGTGAGATGCAGCTACCCTTCAGAACACACTCATAGCCTCCCTTGCCTTTTTGTGTTACCCTGCCAGTGATGTCTTGAACAAAAGCTGGAAGGATCCCTACCACCATCCAGTCTCCCTCTGTTCGTCTCTGGGATATCCTCGAGGGTCAGGGATAAGCTGGAAGCTATGGTTCAAGATGGATACTTCAGGAACCCTGTCATCACATGTTGACAGATGTGTCAGGAAGCACACGGCCTGTCATAAAATGGGGTCTCAGCATACAGCTGTTGAATATATGGGGCTTGGTTTGAAATTAAGAGTGCTATAGGCAGAGGAAATAGCACCCACAAAGGTCCCCAGGGGAGGAGGCAAGAAAAAACAGAGAGGAGCCTGAGAGTTAAGTCAGCACATTTTGTGGGTACTAGAGTTTAATTGGGAACTGTCTCCCATAGGCTCATGTGTTTGAATACTTAGTCTAATGGGTGGTGATATCTTGGGAGGAGGTAAGGCCTACCTGAAGAAATAGGTCTATGGGCAGGGGTGGGACTGATGGGTTAAATTATGTCTCTAATAACAGCCCAATGTCTGTCCTTCCTGGCAGGTCAAGGTGTAACAAGTCAAACTATCAACTCATGCCAGCAAGACACAAGTCCCAGCCATCATGGAACTGTACTCCAATCAATCCTGCCTCCCTTCAGCCACTTCTTGTCAAGGTTCCTAGCAGTTCCCCACTTTGCCTTCCTCTGGTCATCCAGAGATGGATGAGCACGTGACACAAGAGATTGGAGCAATCCCAGCAGTCTGGGCTGGTGGGATGGTGGGCAAGGTCAGTGTGTATTGACAGATGTTTTGACTCTTTGTCACTGTTACAAGTAAGATTAGTAGTTGAATGAAGTGGTCCAAATAAAGTGTTACTTGAAGGGGTTGGAGATATGCCTCGGAGGGTGAATCGCTCACTGTACACACATGAAATCCACACAAAGCCTGGTAGGCTGCTGTGGGTAGATGGAGGCAGATGCCCCTGGATCTTGGTGGCTAGCCAGTATAGCCAATCCAGTGAGCTTCGGGTTAAAAAATAATAATAAGGTGGAGAGCAACTGAGGAGGACATCTGATGTAGACCTCTAGCTTCTACATGATACCCCGCCCCCCCCCATGTGTGTATGGTATGTGCCCACAGCTTTCATAGACACGCAAAGGGAATAAGCCCTTTTATTTAATAACACGGACAGTAAAACACTTACAACTTTCAAACTGCAGTTGGCTATTTCAGTGCAAATAGCTTTAAGAGATGAAATGAAGTTAAATGTGAGGGGGTCAGTCTCCTTCCAGAAGCTAATGAGGAGCCGGACTTTAACGCTTCGTAAAACTAATGCTTCTCTTATTTTCCCGTCCAAATCTGGCCAATATGTCCTGCAGAAAACAAACAAAGAAAACTATTTGAGAAAGAAATTTTATTTGACAATAGAATGCTTTGCTGTTCCTTTGTGCATTGCTTTATTCTGTAACATACTAGCCATCTTGCAAGATAGAATGATGACACAGGCCTTTAGAGTTAGGCACCTCCTTATAGAAAGTCTTATACTAGGTCTATCTATATACATACCTTATAGAACCTCTGGGGCCTACTGGGTGAAACTATGTGCAGCTAGTGTTCAGATGGACTGACTGCCTTGGGTTGTCCTCATTAAGCCTTCCAAGGCTTTCCAGGACGTATTGTGGTGTAAGCATTTACTTTGGGGCAGGGTTAGATAGGAGCCCTACACACCTGTTATGTCATGCCAGCCTGTATTCTTTGATGATATCCTTCACTCTCCGGTGAACATCTGCTCTGGTAACCTGAGCTGCCCATTGCTCTTATTTCCAGATGTCTTTAGGATCATCTCTCCAGTCCCAGCCTCCCACAGTTCCTCTGAGCTGCACACTGGGAATCCTCTATTAGCTAAGCCTCTTCTCATACCAGTTCATCCAGAAGGCATAGCTTCTCACTCCTTGCCATGTTTTTCTACTACCAGTTGGTCTCTTGACTTAAGGTGTGCATGTGGCCTTCTGCTTTACCCATTCCCCATTGTGTCATTTCAGAAGTGTCACTTAATCCTCATTAAGACAAATCAGTAAGTTGTCTTGTCTTAACTAAACCTCAAACCATGCCTTCTTCTCTCATCTCTTTGTAGGGATTCTGCTTTCTCATTCAAATATTGCCTGATTCCAGGCTCAGTTGCTGTTTAGACTCAAGCCATGTTATTGGGAACTGTGGCCTGCCAGTGGTATGACCACTGCATCTCCAGGGACTTCTCTCTGTCTGACCCTTTCTCTATCTGACTCTCCTGCTCTCAAAGCTCCCTTTCTTAACCACATGAAACCTGTCCTTTAGTCCTGATGGGTTACAGAGCTGCCACTCCCACCAAAGTCCCAGCTCCCACAGCTCTTCCTGGTCTGTTTCGCTTGGACATTCCAATTCCAGTCATGACTACCTGCGGGCCACTTGTCCCTCTATCTTCCTCTTGATCTTTGCATGCCCTAAACCCTGGGCAGCACTAGAACCCTCTCCGTCAGTTTCTAGGGACTACCATGGACAGTCACCTCAGCCTTGTACTCTAAATTGGTCCCTTGCCTCAGTTCTTTCTCTACAGCCACAACACAACTGCCTAAAAGCAGCTGTGGTCCTGTTACTCCTTTCTTTAAAACACCAGAGCCTCCCCCAAATAGCCTACCCCTGCCTTGTTCTCCAGCTGCGCTTCCTCTCCAGTGTGGTTTCTCGCTGCCTTACTTTGGGTACTGCGATCCAGCATTGAACCTTTTTCTCTGTTCCAAAGTTTCCTCACACTGTCCCCTTTACCTATAAAAATCCCCTTTCCCATTCTCCACCATTTATCTACTCCATGAACTCTTTATTTACATAACACTTGCTCAATAAGCTCCCTCTAATTGTGTCATGATATTGTAGGTGCCTTTCACTGTACTGTTTTCTGTAAACACCTTTGGTCCTATCCACACATCTGTGTTCAAATAATCTTCCCTGTTCCCCTCTCCTCACTTCAGACAGCATTCAGCATCTAGGGACCACATGCATCCATGCTGTCTGTAATCATAAATGCACACATTTCAACAGACAGTTGTTAAATTTATACATGAATGAAGGCTATTAGTATAGTAGTTTCCCATTGCTCAGGGAGAAATCTTCCAGAGAGTCCCAGTAAAGGCCTGGAAAACTTCAGATACTACTGGATACCCTATGTTCTCTGTTTATACTTCAGTGTGCAGACTCAGCACATAGGGTACTGGCAATAATAACTAATAAAGCAGAACAATTTTAGCAATATAATATACTGTGATAAAACCTACTTAAAAATTATAAATTGATTTTTTTAAAAAAAAATAGTGTTTTATCACTCCCTTGAGAATTTCATACAATATATTTTGATCATATTCATTCCCCTCCACAAATTGCTTTTTTCCAGAACTTACTTTCCATTTGATATTTTTAGACTGTGGTTAAACTGCAGGAGGGGAGGATGTGTTCACTCGTCCTTCACACATGTACATATGTCCTTCTGAAAGATGCATTTCACATGGCTAAACAGACAAATCAGGGGCAGCTCCAAACTAAGACCTAATCAGTGAATCACTGAAAGAAAGAGTGTTTGTTGGCTCTAGCAGGAGCAAGTGAAACTGTACTTTCCATTTTTAAAATGTAATATATATATATATATATATATATATATATATATATATATATATAATTATTTTTTTAGGTTAGCAGCCAAGGTAATAAATAAGTGTTACCATAGCATCTGCCATCATCCCTTGCTCTCATTCATTAGTTTTGGTGGTTACTGTTCATTTGTGGTGATGGGAATGAACCCAGAGGCTTGAAAACATTAGGCAAGTGCTCTATGTCTGAACCAAATCTCCATCTAGGATTCTGAGGTTTTTTTTGTGAACTGCAAGATTTATTGCATCAGCATTACTCTCTCTGCTAGCCTGAAAAGCAGCAACCCCAGCATTCCTCTAACTGGTGATGTATGTTTAGATCATTTCTGTCTTGAGAGTTTTTAACTTTCCTCCTTTTATTTAGGTATTTGGCAGTGAAGAGATGAAATGTTAAGTCTAATATATTAATTAATTCTACAAACACTACAAATTCCCTTCTGAACATCAATCCCTTTTTAGGATTACATAAACACAAGATAAGTGTAATTTGTATGTTTGAGAAGAATATAATCATAATCTGAATGTTTGAGCTATGTATTTCTCTTTGGTGCCCTTTTGTTTAGCGAGCTGAAAGAATAGGTTTGGAATTTTGTTTCTGTCCATGTCCCTGTAGATACTCCCAGTAAGCTTATTCATTTGCTGAGCTAGGCTTGGTGGAAACTTTCTTTGGTCTGTTGAATAAATGTTTCTATTTTAATTAATTTTTTAAAGGTTATCCTACAAAACAATGAGTTTCATTGTGGCATCTTCACATACAACAGAAGAAATATTTAGACAACAACCAGAATGATAAATAACTAAGATATGAACTTTTAGATTGGTCTCTGGATCTTTGAATGTCTTAACATTTTCCCCTACTTGCAAGATTTTTGTTTCTTTAAGACAAGGTTTCACCCTGTAGTCTAACCTGGATTTAAATGATATAGCCTTGGGTGATCTTCAACTCTTGACCTCCTGTCTCAGCCTTCCCAAATCTGGCAATATAGGTGTCCACCACCACACACCACAACCTTCCCACCCCAGATGGCGAAAGACCTCAATTTTGGCTACAGGAGGCTAAGGAACAAAGTTTTGTTAGTCTTGAGCCATCGTTATCCTAGAACCATATGAACTTGTTTTCCCCATCCTCCTTGGTAACAGGACAGCCAGCCACAATGTGTTGTTTCTAGAGGAAAGCCGACATCTGAAATTTAGTCTAAAGCCAAATAAACAAGAAATGAGAGGGGCATAGGAATGATGGGAAAGTGTGTGGGAAATCCATGAACATTCAAAAGATGCACAACGTCTTAAAGTAGCTCTGTCTTAATAACATGTCTCTTAAAGCTCAAAATGCTCTCCTACTGCTGTGAAGTTGACCCATTTCTGGCAGGGTTTTTTTTTTTTTTTCAATCTTACAGTCATTTGCATAGTGATGCTACACATTATGCATATGTGGGATTGGCAAGATGAGAAATATTCAAGTAATATATGGCACACTTAATCATTTAAGCTCGCTGAATGGCTATTTTGAAATTATAATTTCCAGAATGATGAAGGTCTTCATCTGCAGTAAGAAACGTGCATTTTGGAAAGTGTTTCCTGGTTAAACTAATTATTGAAAAACATCGACAAGCACCCAAAGATCTGCTCTTGCAACAAGCAAGCAAAAGAGGGAATGCCTGGGTGTGGTCCCGCATTACCTGTGATTATTCTCCTGAAAGCTTTGCAATATTCTCTGCTCCTGAATTATTTCCAGGTTACTATGTGGTCAGACAGTGAGGAATTGAGAAGTATCTACTGTAAATATACTCTTCTTCTCATAAGGAAGGGTACACTGTCTGAAAACATGTATTTTAAATTCCTTTCTCCTCCTTGAGGGCACAGAGGGATATGCTTTTCTCTTTAGGTAATTTTCAAAGTGACATTTACCCAACCTCCTTTCTTAGACTGCTCCCGTGCCTGTAGGATAAACTAGTGAGGTACTCCTGCAAAGTGAGAGCCTTTAAATTGGACCCACTTGGAGAAGAAATGCACGATGGACAAATTGCAGTTGCACATGACAACATGATAGCATCTCAAAGCCCAGAGTCCTGAGCACCTCACAGTACAGTCTGGAGAGTCCCTGACCTTTTTGTGCTGGTACTGGAGATAGGCAGGTAGTCCGTGACAGCAATGTACACGTACTGCTTCGCATCATCAATCACGCTGTAGATGGCATCAATGTCAAAGCTTCTGTTTTTAGGACAAAACAGTTTGGGAGAATTCTGTGAAAATACAAAGCCAGAGATGTTAGAGATGAACTGTAAGGCATATATGGATTTAAAATGTTTTTTGTGTTGGTAGCTTTTGGTTTATTGTTAATTATATGGTATACAAACCTCCTGTCTACTTTTCCTTCCTTTCTTTCTTCCTTCCTTCCTCCTTCCTTCCTTCCTTCCTTCCTGTCTTTTTTTCTTTCTTTTTTTTGTTTTTCAAGACAAGGTTTATCTGTGAAACAGTCCTGGCTGTCCTGGAACTAGGTCTGTAGACCAGGCTGCCCTTGAACTTATAGAGATCGGTCTGCCTCTGCCAAGCACCACCCCTCCCAGCTTCCTTTCTGCTTCTTGATCAGTCTATAAGAAAGCTAGTTTTCCTTTAGTCAAAGCTGAGGCAGGATGTGTCTCAAGTCCTCAAAGTCTGTCTCAGGAGGGAAGTTTTGATTTCCGTGCACACCTTGCAACCTCTCTCAGTCTTACACGATTCCAGGGACCCTCCTGTTGTATGGCTGAGGGTTTTCTAAAGTATTATGTATAGACTTATATACAGGTAGAGTAAGCAATTTATTCTAGAAGTCATTTCATCTGAGTAGTGATGTTGCCCATAAAAATAGCCAAGACACAAATCCAAAAATCTCATTTTTTTTTTTCTGGATCTTTCAGAGTTGGGAAGAGGAATGGTGATTGTAGAGGTCATCTATAACCCTCCAAGGAAAACCGAAGTTACTGTGATGCCCAAATCCATCAAGAGAGTCAGAGAAGAAAGATAGTATACCAGACACCAGCAAAATGAGACAAGAGGCAAATTGTGCTGGAGGTATTTTCTCATGTCTGAGGTCATTTGTAGGTGCAGTTGGTATAGCAAGGGGAAGACATACTTTAGGGTCATCATCATTTTTCCAGTGGGGAAGATTGGACAGGCTGTCTCTGGTAAGTCCAGCTTTGCTCTGACAAGCAGTTCTTTGTGGGAAGGAAGCATAGGTGCACGAAAGAGAGGGTAAGCATATCTTGGAACTGTCTGGGATAAAGGGCAGCACGGGGCATTAAGAGTTCCCAAGTCACTTGTCCCCAGTGCCCCACCCTGCATTGGCAGGAATCTCATCCCATAACATGACTCATAGAATGAAGGTACTGGGATGAATACCATCCCCCAGAAGGGGCAAAATGGCTATATAGATGCATATTAAGGGTAAACACAACAGTCCTTGTGATGGTTATTAGTGATTGTCTACTGGCTAATACCGATTATCAACACAACAGGCTCTGGAATCATTGAAGAGATCAGCCCATGGACATGACTTTGAGAGAACTTTTAGATTAGGTAAACTGAGGGTAACCAACTTTACTGTGGGCTGGAATCCTTAACTGCATAAAAAGAGAAGGCAGGCTGGGCACAAGCATCCAGCTTCTGCCGTTTCCCGAATGCAGATATAATGTGTGTAATGCTCCTGTTTCTGACTTCACCAACATGGTGGACCTCTCTTGAACTGTAAACCAGAATAAACTCCTTCCTCCACCAAGTTGCTTTTGTAAGATATTTGGACCCAGCCATTAGAAAGGTAAATAATAAAGTCCTCCTGGCCAGCAATAAGCAAGGTATACTTTGGATTGCTTATTTGCTTTTTGAAAGAAGACAAACTGCCATTCTTTGGGAGTGGGCAGGGGCAGTGCATTCAGATACTCTTCCTAACCCTCGCCTTGTCTCTTTGACATTTAACAACTGGGTACACTTGGCTTTTAGGATGAACTCCTGTCTCAGGATGAGAACTCCTGGCTGTTATTCTGCCCCCACCCCTGGATTCCCAACCCATGACTGTGTCCTTGTCACCTCTGCTACTTGACATTTGCTCAGCTAGGCCTTTTAGGTGACATGCTTCCCTGCCTGTCTTACTGAATCTCTCTCCAAATCCCAGCTCAAATACATGTCTTCCACAAAACATTTTCTTTCTTTCTTAGACAGTCAGGCAGAAGCTACCTCTGGGCTCCTAGGCTGTATGTTTCTCATCAACTCCTTTCCTCTTTTCCTTCCTCCTTTGTTCTCTCCATCCCTGGGCTGGGGGGAACAGGGGCTTTCCTTAGGCTAGGCAAGCGCTTTACCACTGAGCTACATCCCCAGTCCAGCTTCACTATTGCAATCATGTTGTCCAAGGGCATCAGGTGACTCAACCCTGCTGCACAACCCTTCCCACAATCCACCTCCAGAATTTACTTTCTACCTTATTTAGCACATTCAGAGATATAATTGCTTTCTTGCCTCTCTGTCAGCTAAACTGTTTCTAGCTTGATTTTAGGGGTTGTGTTTATTCATTTTCCTATATCATTAAAATCATACATTTAAATGATTTAATTTCCTCAGCCTGTTTTGTCTGCTTTAGCCATGGCTCAGGATGCCATAGAGCAGCCGAGGAACTTGTATCTAGACAGGTCCCTGGGCTTTAAAATATGTCAGAACACTTGTGGTTTTGTTTCAGTTAAGAACTTCTTGAATTTCACCCTGGGCTCCCAAGCTGGGCTTTGTGGAGAGAGACACATTTAGGTAGGGGAATGGTTGGGGGCCATTGTGCTCTGATGTGAGGGGGTGAGGGCTTTAGTTAGGCCAGATTCTAGACTTACAGCTAAAGAATGTTAGTATACACCATCTACTTTACTCTCCCTTCCTTCTCACTTTACACCCCTCATCCCCTTTGTTTCCCTCCTTCCCTTCCTTCCTTTCTTGAGACAGACTCTCACTGTGTAACCCGAGCTCTCCTGGAAATACCTTTGTAACCCAGGCTGATCCTGAATTTGTAGCAATCCTCCAGCCTCTGTCTATAAGTCCTGGGATTACAAGTACCACTAGGCATGGCTAGTCTGCTTCTTAATGGAGTTACTAAGAGTCTCACCCTCTCACACTGGTGAACTCTAAGGACTAAATAGGAGGATAGCCTATTCTCTGGATGGGTCCTAAGCATACTATTGCTCTTTAAGCAGATATTCCCAAGTATCTGTCATGCTCCAGGCTCAGCTCTAGGCAAGTGGCATATGTCACTGGATAAGGTAAGCTTTGTGCATTGTAGAGCTTTGTTCTAGCATCTGGTACATAGTGCTGGTGTGCTTACATATCTGCCAGCTCTTGGGCTATGAGATATATATATATATATATATATATATATATATATATATATATATATATATTTGTACAGCTTCTGCCCTTTGTAACATGCACATATTACAGGCTGTGAAATGAACATGAATGTACTTCATAAATTAATAAATGTTGCAGGTTTGTCTCACACCAACCTCTATTCCTAGTTGGAGAAGCTATATTCTAAAAATTTCCCCCCAAACATGTGTGGAAACCATTATTAGCATTAATCTACCTTAGTTGTTCCTGAGTTCCCTTTGCCTAACACAATGCCTGGGGCTTGGCAGGTGCTTCATGTGTCTGTTAAGAGAAAGCATGATTGTAACACCAATGTAGCATCCCAGGCAGGGGTTGGGGGTTGGGGTTGGTTCTATCCCTATAAACAGTATAATGTTCCTTAATATATAACAACACAAAAGAATGATGTACTGCTCTGCTGGGGTGCTAATTGGCTCCCACTGTGCAGAGAGGTGACGGTTACATCCCCTCAGCACTCTAAAAGGATTATGATAATCCTGATGAGGTATGTTCCTTTATTCCACAGTTGAAGTAGAAGGCAAGACTACAGAGCCTGTTTTATATTTTAACTGCCTTTACCAAACAAGCATTCTTGAGTCACTCCATGTCTGGCTTAATCTAGATTTCCTCTTGGATCAGTAAGTGCTGGATGAATGCATATTTTATTTTGCATAATGGGTTTCTGATTTACTACTTCACAATGGTCTCATGCTTTTTTAAAAAAAGTTCACACTGTCTTTCTGGAATATATATTTTTCTGGAATATATAATATGGAAAGAAAACCCACAGAATAGGAGATAAGATTTGCCAGTTGTCTAATTGCTAAAGGCCTTGTTCAAAGAATTCAGAAAGTCTCCCTAGGAGTTCTCCCAGTAGACACTGAGTACAACTGAAAGATGCAATCAGCACACAGCAACACTTATGCCACACCTACCAGAAAGGTGAACATGAGACAGAAATAAGAAGTGTTGACAGGAACATGAACACATGGCAGGTGGGATTTTAGAATGGTACAATCCATTTGGAAAGCTGTTTAATAGTACCTCAAAATGATGAACAATCAGTATAAACCCCAAAGACATGAAAACATATTTAGATAGAATCTTGGATATGAATGTTCACAGGGGACATATGAACAAGAGCTTGAATACAGAAATGCCAAACATCTACCAACCAACACACACTTAAACAAAATATGGCATATTTACAATACAATATTATTTAGCCATAAAAAGAAGCAAAGGAACTGCCTACAAATCCATCAATTTATGCCACAACATGCTTGGAACATGCTAGGTGAAAAATAGTTATAAAAGACTAATTTTGTAATACTAGATTTAGATAGACTCTCCATGAAGGAGAAGATACAGGACGGTCTGTATCAGAGGTTTCCAGGGCTGAGGGAAGGAAAACAATGTAATTGCTAATGATTATGGTGGGTCCTCTGTGGTGAAGAAAGCATTCTAAAAATTTGATGGTGCTGATGACTGCAGAAACTTTCAGATACACCACAAAGTTCACAGAACTATGAACTCTAAAAGGACTAAGTTCTCAGTAGATTATTTATATCTCAATAAAGCTGCTAAAATGTAAGTGCTAATATAGAATGGAAACTTTAAGAGGGAATATAGTATGATACTATTTTTTCCCATAGCAGCCCTGAGTTCTTTTCAGTGTCGTCCCTTCTCAGCTAATACAGCTCAGTGTCCATGACTGATAGGCAGATGAACTGAGTAGGAACAAAAAATGAAGTCCATCTCATATCCAGATCAATATAAACAAACCATGAACCAATGAAGCTTTGGCCTAGAAAGGAAATGCTTAATTTTTTCAAGTAAGTTAAGGTCTGTGAAAAGAAATCTACAAGACATAAACTCCACCATTACCCATTGCCATCTTCTGATTTCAAACATATGCTAATTACAACTACATGGTACCCAGGCACTAGAAGTCATATATATAAATCTAACCAAGTACAAATTTGTGGTTCATGAGAAAATTATAAATAATTTCTATTATTTATCATAACTGGAAATTTGTATTTAATTTTAGTGAGTTAGGAATGATCAAAATTCTATATCATAACTGGAAATTTGTATCTAATTTTAGTGAGTTAGGAAGGACTAAAACTCTATATCACAATTGGAAATTGTACTTAGGAAGGATCAAAAATATAATTTTAGGACTGGTGATTCTTCAAGTCTTCAGACATTCTCTGTGTGTGTGTTCAACTTAGTTTCTGGACCATCAGCTTCCAAAAATATGATGTACTATCTTAAGATTTTTTTTTACAACAAATATATTGAACTTAAATTAGTTTCCTTGGCATTTGCTTGGCATATATTACTGAAGAAGCCATATATATTCTGGAACTTTATATCAATATCACTACCAATAATCCCAGTCTAACATTTATTTATTTATTGATGCTTTCAACACATTGAGTGAGGTCCTGGGACTATCAATTATAGAGAGGGTATGCAATCTTTACAGCCTTATAAAATTATGGGGCATCATCACAAATAATTACAAAGCCTTGATAAGTACTGGAGTGAGAGCAAGGAGCCAGTTCTAAGGGTAGGGCTTCCCTGGTGGTTAAAACAAAATACAGGTTAGACTTTATATCTCCTCAAAATCAGGTGTGTGTGTGTGTGTGTGTGTGTGTGTGTGTGCATATGTACATATACATACATACATATATGTATATGTATAAATGTAAATGGCATATGAGTATGCTGGTTGATTTTTGTCAACTTGACACAAATGTAGATATATTTGGGAAGAGGAAATCTTAATTGAAAAAAAAATCTCTTTATGAGATGGCCTAGAGGCAACTCTGTGAGGTATTGTCTTGATCAATGATTAGTATGGGAGGGTCCAGATCATTGTAGATGCCATTCCTGGGCTGGTGGTCATGGAGTAGTACAAGAAAGCAGGTTGAGCAAGCTGTAAGAGCAAGCCAGTGAGCAGCATTCCTCCATGGCCTCTGCATCAGCTCCTGCCTCCAGGTTCCTACCTTGAGTTCCTGCATTGACTTCCCTGGATGATGGACTACACGATGTCAGCTGCATAAGCCCTTTCCTCTTCAAGTTGATTTTGGCTATGGTGTTTTAACACAGCAATAGAAAGCTAACTAAGACAATGAGAAAAAAGCAGATTTATCTTTCTGAATCTGGCTAATTTCATTAAACAATATCTCCACCTCTACCCATTTTTCTGAGAACGACACAACTCCACTTTTCTTTGTGTTTCAACAAAATTCATGTGTGTGTGTGTGTGTGTGCTCAGTTTTTTTTTTTTCTCCTTTCATCTCCTGAATGGCATCTTGACTGGTTCTACATCTTACATTCTGTGACTAGCTTAACAATAAACAAGGATCTACAAATGTCTTTGTGGTGTATTGACCTAAATTTCTTCCAGGAGATGCTAAGGAGTGATACAGCTGGACCATATGGTAATGCTCTTCTCATATTTTTGAGGAACCTCCTATTGATTTTCATAGTGGCTATACTGGTTCATATCGCCAGGAGCAGTATACATGTGTCTCCCTTTTTCTACATCCTCACTAGCTTTCGCTGTCAATTGTTTTCTTGATAATAGCCATTCTAACTTAATTTGCATTTCCCTGATGACTAAAGACGAAGACTTTTTTTCATGTCTTAATGGCCTTTTGTTTTTCTTCCTCTGAAAACTATCTACTTGACTTATCTGCTCATTTATTGATCAGATGACATAGTTTTGGAGTATTTAGTTTTTGATGTCTTTATAGATTATAGATATTAATAGATAGGTGGTCAAAATTGGTTTTATTCAGTATTTGTTGGATTTAAATTAAAGGTAGAGTTGATATTATTAATGAGAAAATAAAATAATAAATCAAATTAAAGAAATAATAGAAAATGAGTATTATGTAATTTTAAAAGGCTAATTACCAGAATATGTGGTTTTCAATTCATTTGCTAGCTATCTCTTGGATGGAAAGTCAATTATTAAGTTTCTCTAGACTAGAGTGAAGATGCACTCTCATTTCCAGTGATGAGGGGTCAAAACAAAGACCTTACATGTTCATTGGGTTTAGCTAAGGACCTGAGGCTCACTGTGGTAGATGTGACAGTGTCAGAATCGACAAAGGCAACACCCACCCTTTTAAATATAGACAAGAACCTTACTTATCTCTTCTATTGTTCTGGATCCCTTGCTTGAGGCATTCTGTCACCTTGTTTCCTGATGCTGCTATGTACAGATTGGGAATACACTCTAGCCTTTGTTTCCTTGAGATGCAATGGAAATGTTGCTTCTAGAAGGCTCTCTGTAGTGATTCCACTGAATTTTGTAGGGGCCAGTAGGGACAAGGACACCACAAAACCCCCTCAGAACCAACTAACTTAGCCTCATAGGGGCTTACAAAGATTGAACTGATAACCAGGGAACCTGCAGGGGGCAGATCTAGACTCTGCAGATATGATACAATTGTATAACTTGATGTTCTTGTGAGACTAATAGTGAGAGCAGACACTGTCTCTGACTCTGTTTCCTGCTTAGTACCTGTTCCTCCTATTGGATTGCCTCACTCAGCCTTAATAGAAGAGCAGGTGCCTAGTCCATCCCATATCTGAAGAGAAAAAGAGAGGAGGAATGGATGGGGATGGGGATGGGATGGGGGAGAAACTGGAAGGAAAGGAGGGAGGGAAAACTTTGGTTGGGATGTAAAACCAACCAACCAACCAACCAACCAACCAACCAACCAACCAACCAACACAAAGTCTCAGTGCCCCATGGAAGTCCTTCATACCCATTTTCAATACTTCACATTTATGTGGATGTGTTATTCTAGACAAGCAGCTTCACCCTGCTTTTGACAATCTTGTGCTGTCTTCTGGGCATTCCAATCATGCTTTCATGTGAAAGGGTAAAAACGATGTAGTACTGTCTGATAAATGTTCTCTGGTGCAAAAACACCCTGGCACCCACCCAGGGAGAAAGGCAGCAGTCATGTGGTAGCACCGTTTAGAGAGGACTTGTGAGCACCAGTATGAACTCAGGAGTGTGGTTCAGGTCCAATTGGTGAGGTCTCACCCTGGGTCAGGTGCTAACTCTAGAATTCGGAAAGACCAGGGTTGGAGGCCTAGATATGCACAATCCCAGTTCCTAGTGACAGCACGATGGAGAGGGTAGTGGGGTGATTACAGGAGGTGAGGATGGGATACTAGTTTTAGCCAGTCAGAAGCCTCACATATCAGGGGTGGCCTTGTGCTGCCCTGCTCCAAGCAAATATATCAGCTCTGGCTTAGTTTGTTTTCCATACTAGGTTTCCTCAGATTTGACTCATCAGGCTTTTACTGTTAGAACAGCTGGGAATCATGGAGGAAGCGCTCATCAGCTGGGGTGTCAGCCCATGGAGCTGAGGCCTCTGTGGTGCTTCTCACATGATGAACCTTGTGCCACTGGAAAGTTTTAGTGTCTTCTTTGTAAAATGGCCACAACGGGATCTTTATCTTCCACTCCCACAGGCTCAGGGACCATTGTAAAAGATTGGAAGAACCAAAGGTCAGTGGGGATTGTTGCACAATAGTGTCTTCTGGGCATGACAGGACTAGTGTACTCATGAACTCACAGAGTAGTTGTGGTTGCATGTAATACCTACATAATATTAAGACAGTCAGTGTTCCATTATACAGGAGGGTCTCATGGACCATCTCTAGCTGAGACTATTGGCAGTTAATGGCTTCTTGGGGAGGGAGAGTCAGTTTTCCTCAAAGGTGTGGTCTCTGGTGTGCTGCCTACCTTATATTACATTACACCCGTGCCCACAGGGGCAGCGCTAAATGGACTCTTTGGGTTATAAGAAAAAGAGGCCATGAGATTGGGACATGAAGGAGTTCTAGGAGGAGTCAGAGGACAAAAGTTAGGGGGAGGGGGACTTGAAGCAGTGAGGGTGCATGACTCACCGACACAAAGGCTTGTGACTTGGTTTCATTCAACTGGAGTTGAAGCTTCTTCTCATTGTCATAGACTCCGTAAAGTCTCTTGGACCAGGTCTGAGGTACTCTGCTCTTGAATTTTAATGAGCTATATAAAGCGAATATCCTTTGTAAATCTAGGACCAGGCAGCTGCAGTTGTAGAAGATGACACCGAGTTCTTTCATCTGTGAAATTAAAATTGAGAGCATCAATGTGGGGTGCAATTGATGCTATTTTTTTTAAGAGAAAAATGCATAAAAGTGCTGTAGCAGAGATCTTTTTTTGAATGCATTTTTTTTCTTTCACAGAATGTAGATAGAGCAACATTATAGCATATAGAAGAAATGTACCCTAAAACGTTCATATACAGGAACAGAATTTTTCCTCCCTTTTTGCATTCGGCCTTTTACAGAGACAATTTCACCAGATATAGTTTTAATATTGGCTTTTCACATTTTTTCTCCTCAATACCATTTTTTTTTAAAGAGATACTCAAGCAGCAAGACAGTGACCTTCTATTGCAACATTACAGAGTGGTTATAGTTATAGATCCTGGAGCCATGCTGAAGCCATCCTGGAAATTGGCTCCAGCTCCACAGTGTTAGAACCATATGATTTTGGGATATATTTAATCTCCGGACCTCAGTGTCCTCATACATAAAGCGGAGGTAATGGAGTTGCTGTAACAGACTGGTTAATACACAGAAGAGCAGTGCTTACAATCATTAAAAGTTATGGCAGATTGCTATTTTTACTAAAATTGCATACTCCTTGACAGTAGGAGCCCAACACCCAAAGACACCATAGAGGTTTTTTTTTTTTTTTGGTCCCTCTTTCCTCAGTGCATGAGAAGGAAAGTAAAGGTCAGAGTTAAGCAAAATTACAAGTCAGAGATGAAATCGGTGGTAAATTTTAGGAATTTGATTGCAGGCAATGACTGAAATGTCTTCCTTTGGGTCTACCATGTCTTTGTGGAAAGTGTTCACTATATCTGATTTGCTCAAAGTAACAATGTAAAATTTTGATTGGAAAAGAGTGGGACACACATGTGAATGCTTTATATGACTTGATCTCCCAGTTAAGGGTTGTTTGGGAGACCTGGGCTCTTGAGAAGCCAAAGCAGGAATATGAAATATCCTTCCTTCTCTTTCTCCAGGAGAGACTGCCTACCATGTAGGGATTGTATGCCCTTGTTCCTCAGGGCTACCAGTATTACATATTATGGGGTCCTTTCCATCTTCATCTATTCTGACCTATCTTTATGTTTCTAACTCCATGGCAACCACAGAATTATTTAACCCACCCAGGAACTTGTCTCTATTTTCTTGCTAATTTGAAAAATAACATGGACATCCTTGAACACATTCTTGTGTGTCCTTGAATGTATTCTTGTGTGTATTTGTGCAAACATTTCTTCAGTATTGACTATTTCAGTCAGAGGAACAAATATATTAAGGTTAAAATGAAAGGTTTCAGTGGGCAGGTAGCTCAGGAATATGCAACGACTTTTACCTATAACATGGGCCATCTAGTCAGAGCTGAGTGGATAGGGCTAAGCAAGGAGGGGGGATGTGTATACAGGTCTAAGTGTGCAAATATCTCTTCCCAGGTAATGGGGTAGAACAAGGGAGTGAGGATGTTGGATTCCCAGGGACTTTTGGTAGATGGGCATTTGATGTTTCTACTGAAAGATTTGGGTAGGAACATAGTAAGGGGAGGGACATTGTCAGGCTGTGATTTAGGGATCTTCCTTTGGCTATAGTGTGCCAGTGGCTTTGACAGCGTCTAACAGGGCAATTTCCATGTTCACATGTTTTTCAGTCTCAGGGATTTCAAGAAACCACCCATAGTAACTCTTTTGTTTGTTTGTTTTTGTTTTGAGATGAGGTTTCTAGTGTAACAGCCCTGGCTGCCCTGGAACTCATCCTGTATCTGGCCTCAAACTCACAGAGATCCACCAGCCTCTGCCTCCTGGGTGTGCACCATCACCATCACCACCCAGCTCTTTTTACAAATACTTACTTTAATTTTAATTATGTATATGTGTATGTGTGTATTGTGTATATGTGTGTATGTGTGTTATGTGGGTGATGTGCATGTGTGAGTGCAGATGCCTGAAGTGTCTAGAAGAAACTATCAGATCTCTTGGAGCTAGAGTTACAAACAGTTGTGAGCCTCTTTGACATGGGTGCTGGGAACCAAATTCAGGCCTGAAAGAGCAATACTCACTTTAACCTCTGAGCTACTTCAGGTCAAAGTAACCCTTTTGTTTAAAGAAAATCTTTTAATTTTATATTTGTGTTCTTTTGTGAGTTTTATGTGCACCATGTGCATGCAGTGACTGCAGAAGCCAGAAGAGGGCATCAGATCCCCTGGAACTCGAGTTACAGATGCTTGGGGCTACTGGGGACCAAACCCTGGATCCTATGCAAGAGCAGTAAGTGATTTTACCCTCTGAGCCTGCTCTCTGACACCCCACAGTAACTCTTAAAACACCCTGTGTTAGGCTCTACACCCCATTTTTGTTGTGTGGAGAGTCCAGCAGAGGAGGGATGCCTGATTAATCCATATAAGGATCACAGCAATGACTGAGTGTTGGTTTCTGGGAGTCTCCAGATGGATCCTGGGCTAGCCTTGCCAGGGTATCTCTCTATGGCCATCTTCAGTTTTGTTACTCCAGGGTCCTTGCACGGGAACTGTCCTTTTAAGGTCTCAGCATCAAGGGCTATTGGGTTGGTCTGCTGTGAGGATGTCTGCTTGAGGAACACAGCTTGTTTGAATTTTAGACCAACAGTTATTTCAAGGGCCAGGCATCCATCCAGTAGACAGTTTCTGACCAGCTACTGTTTATTACCTGAAGTCAGCACAGTCCCCATCTTCAGACAATCAGTATAAAGTCACAGATGAGAAATACCATGTATCATAAAATCATGACACAATCTAAAATCTCTACACTGGAGCTAATCAGCAGTATTTCTTCACATAGGTGTGAATACTTGAACAAAAGCCCACCTTTACCAGAGATGTGGAAAGGGGAGAGAAAATGGCTGCCACTGAAATTAGGTAAATTAATTAGGCTTAGGATCTCACTGAGATCAGCAGACTAAATGCAATTCTCTCCATGGATTCTGTCAAGAAGCTCAGAGGGATTCTCCTGGGAAATCAGGCAGACAAAACAGACTTTTTCATAAGCTTGTATCACTACCATATGACTAAACTTAGGGATAAGAAGAATTGTATTAGCATTGTGGCCCCTCAGTTTATCAGCTTTGTGACTGTGGACAATCTCTCCAACTTCTTTTTGTCACCCAGAAAGACAAAAGCCAGCCATGACACCTGGGGACTGGCACACAATCCTCAGCCATGACTTTTGGGTTTCTGGGATCTGCTTTGAGCCTTCAGATGTCTGTGAAACAGTTTTATAGAACACTGTCACAGACAAGGCCACCCTGCGGGCATTTATGATGGACCAACATAAAAGTGAGACCTTGTAATAGCGACTGAGCTCACACAAAAATGTGAACCACCATTCAAGCCTCAAAAATGACTAAACGTATCTCAGCCAAGCTGACTCACTGTGGTTTATTCACTACAGCTTAGCTTATCTCATTAACACCATCCATATAGATGAGACTTACTAAGACACCCACTCTTCGATGCCCCCTCACTTCCTACCAGTGTCTAATCATGAACACATCCTTGCTTCCTCAGGCACATCCCCAAACCACAGAACAGAAACCCAAAACTATATATAGCACACCCTACAACTAACTTATCTAAGTGCCTCCTGAACCTTCTCACAACAGCTGGCTGTTTCCCTATTCCTGCTGGCTTTGGGCTGGGAACAGTGACCATGTTTCATCCCTATACCCATGTCATAGGGCTGTGAGGACAGACAGATGGGTGTAGCAGCACAGTGAGAACTGTTCAACAGGTTACTTTTAGACTAAGTACTAGTTAAAGTGGCAAGTTGCTCAGCAGCAGTGCAGAGGTACTTCAAGGGAGATGAACGAATGAAAGGCAATAGTGATGTCCATGAACAAGCACAGAGAGGGATGGTGTGTTTGAAAGAGGTTTCCTACTGGCACCTAAAGCCAAAGCCCAATAGTCCTCTTGAGACACTCTGGTCTCTTTCTGTGGTAGGCTTGATCTTAGAACATGTGCCAGCACATATTGTAATCTGGTGAGCCAAATCATTACAAATGAATGGGAAAATTGGAAACATGCAATAAAAATGCTTGTTGGACAAGAAATGACAGAAGCAGCACTTGTTGGTCACTGTGTTCTTGGGACTGCTCCAAATGTTTCACTCATCTGTGTCTTAAAATCATTTTTTTTTTTTTTTTTTAGCAGGCATTCTTTTATACTGGCACACATAGTGATGAGTTTCACAGAGAAATTTTCCTACAAGTGTATTATGTGCTTGGACCACATTCACCCTTTTCCTGCCCTTTCCCATCTCTCTGTCTTGTTGCTTCCATTTATTTCTGTCAGGCAGCCTTACTTCTGTTTTCATGTCTTATATAGTCTATGGTTTCAAATAACTATATAAAGTAGATCTACAAATGTGAAAAATCATGATGTTGGTTTTCCTGAATGACTTAGTTCACATAATGTCATTACCTCCTGTTGCATTATCTTTATGGAAATGGCCCATCTTTACCATCCCTTATGACCAAACCATACTGTGTTGTGCATTTATTTCATATTGATTCATCTGTTGAGCTGCTGGTGGACAGCTACCCTGATTCTGTAACTTGGTGACAAAACAGTGATACAACATTCCTGCTTTCTTAAATTTCTCTTGAAATCTACCACATATATAAGGAAACTGAGATGTGCAGAGGTCAAATGGCTTATGCAGATACATAGCAAGGAAGGAGTCTGAGCTTATGGAATTTTATGGCATTTGGATATTGAAACACACACACACGCAGAGAGAGAGAGAGAGAGAGAGAGAGAGAGAGAGAGAGAGAGGCTACTGAGTTCATTTAGTGTTGCTCAGATGTGCATGTGTTTATTGCCAACCACTTGGAATTAAATAGCTTACCAAGACGCACATCCCTGAAGAGGCTGACTCTCCCTATCTCAGCAGCCGTGTTGGTTGTCAGCTGTTTTTGTCATTGTGTTGGTCTTACTTAGGCCAACTTACTTATAACTTCCCTGTCATCTATAGAAGTAGCAG